TGAGTTTTGTCATAACCGTCTCTTTGTCAGATCAAATTCTCATGAAGTTTCTTGTTGATATCTACTGCATCCAATTTCAAAACGTGAAAATCGTTGAAAACAGAAAGATATGACTGAACTAACGAATGTTATCGCGTGACCCTTCCTATAAATGTTTGTGATTGAATTAATTTCAATTGTTTGTACGGTTAAGAAACAGAAATAAAAGCCATCGATATGTCATGACCCAGATAATAAGATAATATATCAGTGATACTTCACTTATTGATGCAGACGTTCCAACTTGTTACATATTTTTAATCTTCCTCAATCATACTCAAACATCCATCAATCATTACACTGATCCATGAAATTATATTGATTGTATATAGGATGATCGCTGAATGAGAAACAGTAACTAAAACCCACCTTTCGAAGTTCAAAGCAAATTTATGATGATCAAAACATTGATGATAATATTTTTGATCCAGTTTTCGAGTGACTTTCCAAAATTGAAAAAAAATCGATGCTGACTTGTGTTATGGTGATGCTGGAGAACCGTTGGTAATGAGCTCATTGTTGGTAATGTTGGTAATGAGCTCATTGTTGAAAAAAGGAAAGATTCAACAAGCTCGATCAGCAGCAGAAGTCCATTTGGATGATTTGAAAAATGTGTCCAGTTACTCAAGCTACTCAACTGCGGATGAAAAATTTAACTTAAATTTATTTTTCTAGTTCTTTCCTTCTGAAACTGATTATCAAAATGATTTTGAGGTTGCAAGGGGGACCGAGTTCGATATCAACGTTCGGTCGTTTCGGTGAAAATGGTCCCTTCTTCTTCAACAACGATAACAAAGTTGATATTAGGGAGCATTATTGGTCCAAATCACATTCCATACTATACATTAACAACCCTGCTGGTAATGGTTTCACTTTCACTAATGGAGGCTATGCAAGAAATCAAACTAAAGTTGGAGACGATCTTTTTGAAACACTGCAGCGATTTTTCACGTTGTTTCCTGAAATACAGAAGAACGACTTCTTCATCACAGAAGAAGCTCATAGAGGAAAATATGTACCCACTCTAGGTTATGCCATGCATCATAAGAAATGAAGATCAATCTTCAAGGTATGGCGATTCGAAATAGACCAAGTAATCTAGAACACCAATTCAGGTATGCTGACTATTTACTGGAATGCCTTACATGGGCTGGAGAATCATTGTAAGTAGTAGATCCACTCAACTGCTTCAAAATACCAGAACGTCAACAAAATACTCAGATATAACTCATGCAGTCAACCATTCAGTCATTTTCGCTACTTTAATTTATTCTCATAGCATGCCATTCTGACTATGACAATAGTCTAACCTATCGATGATTTTCATGAGAGTATCCAAAGAAGAGAAACAGGTCCACTAGTTTCCTCTCATCTGCCAATCAATAAAGCTTGCTCCTGATATTTACCCCCTCAATGGTACAAAACCTCACTCTAGAGCTTATTCAATATGATTTATAAAATACCTTATGGCACTTTTCAATGTGGTGGAATTCCAAGAGCAACTTCAAATTTGAAATCTTCTTTTGGGCGGGAATCAACAAACTCTGTAGAATATTCCCACCAAGATTCTTTCAATGGAGAAAAGTGAAAGCTTTTTGGAATATTTGTCCGTGACTAATATAATTTTCACTTCAGGTGACTACACGTGCACTCGATCTGAAGGGATTTTTCAATTTCACACCTTTCAATAGAACTGAACTGTTTCTGGTGTGTTAATCAGTTTATAAATCATTCTGTTACATATATCACGTTTGAAATATCAGATTTCAAATCATGAGAATTACAAAAATGTGTTACTACAAAAATTGCTATCGGATTGTGTGCGAACAGATTGGTAGAATCCAACGTCATACACATGACAATGAAAATATTCCCAGTCAAGCGGCGTTGGAAACTCTTGGCTCCTACAGAGCAACGTCTAAATTGGAAGCAAATCGCAAAAAACGACTCTATTCAATAGAAATACTCAACTAATTGTCTCTAGTCTAGATTCCTGGCCATTTTGGCCTGGAAGGCAATGAGGTTGCTGACTCCATTACTGCAAGCAGCTTCATCGGACCAGCACCTTCTGGTCCGATGGCTTTGCAAACAAACGTTGAACAGCTGGATGGCAAGAAGATTTATGAACTTGTGGCAGAATCTTCCAGGATTGGCTCACTTCAATGCGTTCATTCATCCTTCGAAGCTTCAAACCGAACGGTTTTTTTTTAACTTTGGGAACTGTCTGACTTGTCCATTCAATCCAAGTCTCCAGGAAACACTGCAGCCTCTTGAGCATATTGCGTTTGTTCTCCCATCTTCTCATGACACCCATTCCATCAGTCTCGTTCCCTGTACTAGTTTGTACAGGTTCCGTGTTGGATGTTCGTCATATTCTTCTGGACGTTATTTCGTACGTCCATATATTGCCTGCCTCCTGTGATTCAGTGCCTCACATTCGCATAAGATGTGTAGAGCTGTTTCTATCCCTTCGTTGCATAATATGTGTTAGTTGCCAGATGCTTCTGTCCAGTACTCTGTGTGCTTCTTATTGGTCCATATCCTAATCTGGTTTCGTACCAGTGATTTTGATACCCCCAGAGCTGGTTCAGCACCTATATATGAAGTTGATGATCCGCGTCTAGCGCATTCATCAGCTTTTTCATAACCTGTGATTCCTGAATGCCCCAGTATACCCAGTACAGTACACCCAGTACAAAGTTAATTGTACGGTTATTGTACTACAGTAGAGATGAACTACGATGTCCTACATGTCTTCTCACAGGTTACTGTTGTCTGAATCATCATATGCATAGACTCAGACTGTCGGAAGACATTGTATGTTGCCTCTGTTCAGAAAATCATGAAACAGCAGAGCACATACTTTGCGCCTGTACCGCTGAAAGATCACTCACTATATAAACCAATCGGCTCCGTTAGAAAGTTGGGTTTATTTAGTCGAATGTGATAATATGTGAGCCACAATAAACCTTTGCGGGTTGCGGTGAAGGGTCGAATAGATCCACTCACTTTTGACCTAACCTAACACATTTCATCTATTTGCCATCATGCATTCTGGTTCACTTTTGATGAAAACAGGGAATTCTTCATTCTTACTGATCTTTTTATTTGTTTCAGGTCCAGAAGCTATTCGCAAGAGTGGGTACCATGAAGCTTGGCGGGTTGACTGTCCTAGTTCATATTTCATTGCCTAAACCAATGTACATGCTGTTTTTGGCGAGTGCATTGGTTTGGGATGTGGGGATTGAGCAAACTTGCCATCGGATGCCTGCTTCCACGTAGCCCCGCTGGATACGGGAATGACAGAATTACTTGAGGTTCTGTTATTTTCTAACTGAATGACATCCCAGCGATGGCTCAATCCTAAGGTGTGTGTATCTGTGCCGAGAGAATGAATGACACCGTGCATATCAGCTGTCTCTACGGAACCTTCGAGATACCAGGCGCCCTCTCGTCGTAGCATCGCCTTGTCACGGTAATGCGGGGCTCTGCCGTGATTGACCTTCTTTCCCTAGCTACTCGTGGGACTTGTATGGACATAGTAAACTTAAAAATTCTTTCTGACGTTGAGCCTGTAGAGGAGGTGGATGTCGAGCTTACGACTCTAACTGACCTCACTGTAAACTTAGATCAGGAGCGAGTCTAAAGAGGATGTAGATGTCGAGTTTACGACTCCAACTGACCCCACTGTGAATTTAGTTCAGAAGCGGGAGCTGCGGTGTACGCAGAATCTCAGGTGGGGGAACAAACCCCCCATGAGCAGGTTAGCAAACGTTTGCGCTCAAGTGGTGATTCACCAAAGTCAGAGGCGAAAAAGCCCTGCACGGCTGAATCTAAGGCATCGTCAGGTTTAGCTGACGTGCAAAAACCCTCATATGGGAAGGTTGTCGTGGGTATCAAGGTGAAAATGTTGCAATTCGACTATCCCACTACCCCATTAACAGAGCATATACTTTGTGCCTGCCCTGCCGGAGACTGAACCAGGTCTTTAGAGTTCGACAGAGCCGTACTCTTACCATCTGACCTGAAAGACCACTCGCCATACAAACTAATCGGTTTAGATAAGAAACTGGGTTTATTTGGACGAATGTGAATAGGTGTGAGCCACAATAAACCCTAGCGGGTTGCGCACTTTGGACCCAACCTGACCGTGAAGCTTTGGATATACTAGATGAATATTTCAATAGCAACTCCTCTATATTTGCCGTTGCGACAGACTACAACAATGTTAATAATTATTCGTGCTCAGTTGTTTCTTTCGACGAAAAACCCATGAACATCTTTCTCCAGAGAACAGATGTACAACCAGCAATTCATTTAGGAAATACTGTATTTAATGACGATGATGTTTACAATAATCTAGAGTTGAACATAGTGAAATCGATAGTTTTCCGAACTACCGAATGCTTCACTACAATGGCCAATTTGATATTACAGTGTCATATCCAATGATGGTCACCATTTGTTTAAAACATCAACTGGTTTATAATATAATTGTTATTATATGAAGTTTAAGTGTTTATGTAATTAGTGAACCTGAAAATAAAAAACGACATGAAAACAATTTGACTCGTATGTTAATGCCACTTGACAACTACAAAAAATTGGAATGAAGACTCCATCCACTGAACTTCTGTTTCATTTTACAAGTGGAATGCCTGAATTCCTTCGTATTTTATTAAACGTATTGTATTGAGTGAAACCCAATATAACTCTTCCAGAGAACTATGCAGATTCACTAATACTTCTGGAAGAAACATTAGATTTTGTTTTTTTTTTCTGAATAACCTAAATGAAACATGCGCTTTCCTATTTTTGATGTCCCCATATATTCAGATATACATCTCTTGGCATTCTTTAATTCCCACTAATCCTCATAATACATCTATCAATCATCGCACTTATCCTCTGCATTATGTTATCAGTATAAAGGATGCTGACTGAATAATTTTCATCACAGAGTGAAAAGCTACCTTTGTGAGTTAAAGCGAAACTACAATGATCAAAACGTTAGTGGTAATATCTCTGATTCATTTTTCATGGGCATTTTTGCGACCTTTTCAAAGAAAAATTGATGCTGATTTGCGTTTTGGTGATGCTGGAGAGCCATTAATATTGACCCCACTGTTGAGAAGGGGACAGATCGAAGAAGCCCGTTTAGCGGCAGAAGTTCATTTGGAAGATTTAAAAAATGTGACCAGTTACTCAGGATATCTCACTGTGGATGAAACATTCAACTCAAACTTATTTTTCTGGTTCTTTCCTTCTGAAACTGATTATCAAAATGATCCGGTGATTTTGTGGTTGCAAGGTGGACCAGGGGGTTCATCAATGTTTGGTTTATTCAGTGAAAATGGTCCATTCTTCTTCACAAGCAAGAACGTAATTGATATCAGAGAACATCGTTGGTCCAGAAGACATTCCGTACTATACATTGACAACCCTGCTGGTACTGGATTCAGTTTCACTAATGGAGGATATGCGAGAAATCAGACTAAAGTTGGAAACGATCTCTTTGAAACACTACAGCAATTTTTCACGTTGTTTCCTGAAATACAAAAGAACGACTTTTTCGTCACAGGTGAATCTTATGGAGGAAAATACGTACCTGCTTTAGGTTATGCAATACATCACAGAAATCCAGAGGCAGAAATAAAAATCAACCTTCAAGGAATGGCGATTGGAAACGGGCTGAGCGATCCAGAAAATCAATTCCGGTATGCTGACTATTTGCAACAGATCGGACTGATTGATAGAAGAACCAGAAATGCAATGCATTCACTGGAACATCATTGTGAGTATATTATTTACTTCAAAAATAATTATTGACAATAATATTGTTACGTTCATTGGTTCTACCGAATGAATCGGGTAGGTAACGATCTGATCAATCTCATAAGATGAATTGTTTGATAAAATTATTCCTCAATAACAACTATTCAAATACATAAATCAAACTCTCGTGTTCACTAACGGATCCCGCCCAGACAAAACTGAATAAGCCCGTTCCCTTTGGTTACCTCATCAGGTGTTACTCATATATGTCCAAACGGTCCTTTTATTGATAATCGGAATACTACATCTCTTCCTTGTTTTATATTTCCAATATTGAAGCGGCAGCAAATTATCACAGTTTCCTTACAAATACCACTATAGATATAATTGAATAAATACATGTTCAGATCGATATCAATAGTAAGGTTAGGTTAGATCCACCCTCCATCGCAACCCGCAAGGGTTTATTGTGGCTCACACATATTCACACCCGACCAAATAAACCCAGCTTCTGAACGAAGACGATTATTTCTTATTGTGAGTTCCCTTTCAGGTAAGATGGTGAAAGTACGGCTCTGCCGAACTCTGAAAAACCTGATTCGCTCCCCAGCGGGGCAGGCACAAAGTATATGCTCTGCTTTTCCATCATTCTCCAAACAGAGGCGACACACACTGCCTTCCGACAGTCCAAGTCTCTGCATGTAATGATTCAAATGACAGTGACCGGCAAGAAGGCCTGTTAGACATCGTTGTTCATCCCTAATGTAGTCCAACAACTGTTTGGTATCAAGCTTCGAAGGGTGAATAAACGCCTTGGAGTGAGCCAATCCTGGAAGATTCTGCCAGAAGTCCTAAAAATTTTCGCCATCCAGGTGTTCAATGGTTATTTGGCAAAGCCTGAAACGAAGTCGATAACAGGTTCAGATCCGATGAAGCTGCTTGCAGCACCCTCCTTTGCACTGGATTCAGCAGCCTCATTGCCTTCTAGGCCAGTATGGCCAGAAATCCAGGCCAGAGACAATCTGTTACGTCTTTCTATCTAGGAGAATCGTTTCTGGCAATTTGCTACCAATTTAGACGTTGCTCGGTAGGAGCCGAAAGCTTCCAACGTCGCATGACTGTCCGAGAATATTTTTATCAAGGAGAGGTTGGATTCTCCCAATATCTCTGCATACAATTCGAAAGCGTAAATTTCCGCTTGAAATACAGTCTCATAGGTTCCTAGGCAGGTTGATATTTCTGTCCTGGGTCCGCGACTGAAAATACCTGGACCAGAACTGGAAAGTGTTTTCGATCCATCGGTGAACCAACAACTATCTGCTTTTAATATTTCCTTCTCCCAAATAGTAACAGTAAACATAACCTAAACATGAAGTACAATAATGTGGTTGGAATTATCATTGTTCATTTTTGTACTTCGTGATGATTCCAACCACAAGATCTTTCTCTTTTCATCAATGATCAGGAATTTGATTCTTCATCATTTGATAACATTTTTTATTTTCCATCGACCTACTTTAGGTGTATTACATTCTCTCTCACTTTCTCCATTTTCTTCAAACATACCTTATCTTCTTTACGAAAGCCATCATCTTTCGAACTTCTTCTCCTGTCGCTTTATTCTTTTCTTTTTTTTTATATTTCATGTCTGTCCCTCAATTCATTGTCTATTTCTTTACTGAAATGTTGACCAAAGAAAAGTTCACCTGTAGCTCTTTCTGTTACCAAGTGAGAAGTGCTGTTGTACACTAAATACTGTTCAAGTGACTGACTATTTTTAGTTGTTTCAAAATATCTCTGTTCTGCCTGTCAACTTCGCCATTTTGTTTAGGTCATTAAGGTATGGTATGAAAAATAACAATTCAATACTGTTGACAAATTTTACGTAGCTCTTGACTAGCAAGCTGTTTTCCATTATCGGCGGTAATTGATAACGGGTAACCGAAACCCGAGGTCTTACCTTTTAACATGTGATTCCTAATACGGGTTGGATGATACTAAGTGAACATCGATCGTTCAAGGTGAGGCTTGAAGCGGATCAACCGTTTTCCTGTCAGTTACATCTTTAGTGATTCGCCTAGTAACCACTAGTATATACTCCTCACAAGATAACGGTCCAAGATATTCGATAGCTATATCTACCCATAGACTACACGCTAACTCCTGTGGCTTCATGTAACGTATTTGTATCTGTAGAGTAGGGAGGGTGAGTGTAAGCCCACAGACTTAGGCCACATGTGACCCATTGGACATCTTACCGGGGAGTTCTCCTACGTCATCGTCCATCCTGTCCTTTCCAGGAAGGTGGACAGGTCACTGGGAGACATCTCTTTCATATTGGCAGGTGTAGGCCAAGAATCGCCGAACACACAATCTCTTATTGACGATAACTCCGGGCACTCGTATAGGACATATCTGACAGTCTCATCTTCCTGTTCACACATCCTGAATAGAGGTATGTCCACTAGCCCCATATTATGGAGGTGTTTCCTTAGTTGACAGTGGTCAGTCAGAAATCCTACTGTTAAGCGTAAATTGTTCCTGGTCATCGCCAGATATTTCTTCGGCGCCAGCTTCCCAGGTCGCCCAGGGTGATCCTGGCAAGATTGCATCCTTTGATTTCATCCTTTCTTCAGGGATTGAGAATAGGTGTAACATTTGTCTAGTTCCGCAATTGTCGAAATCATCAGGCCGTAGGTGCCACTGGGTCCTAAAATTCTTAGTCCAGCCGCTTCCTTGGCTGAAGAGTCGGCGAAGCGATTACCTTTACTCCTGTCCTGCCCTCCAACACACCTCAGGATGAGGTTATTATATACCGAGGCTTTCACTAAATCTTGGTTACACTCTAGTACTAACTCTGAGGTTACACGTTGTCTGTTTAAGGCTAATAGGGCTTGTCTGCTGTCAATGCAGATTGTTATGTTTTTGCCAGAAATTCCTTTCCTGGTTATTTCTTTTGTGGCGATTGAGATACCAGCCAGTTCTGTTTGGACCACGCTGGTATTTCTTCCCATTCTCCACTTAATCCTTAGGCTTAGTGATCTGGAGTACACTTCACATCCTGAGCCTTCTTTGGTTTTTGAACCGTCTGTATCTATGCGTATAACATAGATACAGACAATTGACCCACTCCGACTTCGAGGTTTACACCAGCCGTGCGCAATCGTGCCATGTAACGTAATACAAGTTTTTACCATTTTCTCTGCTTCTCTATCAATCTTAGGCCACCAAACTATTGTTCGTTGTCTACCTTTCATTGTCAAGATTCCTGCATGACTTTCATGTGCTTCCATTATTCCTTATTCTTCTACTTTGCTGGTATCACGAGTTCCCCCAATAGAATTTCGTCATGATAACAAGGTTTTTGTTGAAATATCTTATATATGTTGACTGTATCCCAGAGATTTTCTAACTTTCGTGAATTCTTGATCCATTTTTGAATGGTGTCTGATGTCTTTGATTGATATTGCAACATATCGCGAAAATAATATGAGTTCGTTTATAGTTTCCTCGTCAAAAGGTTCGGCAGGAGTCGATAGCGGATCCTGGTTTGTACACTATTTTGGAGTTATAAGATCGAAGACGTAGTATCCATCTTTCTATACGAATGTTTGGTTTAGATTTAGGGCCAAATGCTATCTCCAAAGGTTTGTGATCTGTGTCTAACAGTATAATGTTTAGAAATCCTGTGAATGATATCTAAGTGTATTTCATAACCAATGTTTGGAATACATACTGAATAGAGAAATGTGTTTTTCGTATAATTCAGTGTTCATATAAAAGTATTTGTTTCGAAAGAATGTTTTTTTGTTTAATTCAATATTTATATAAAAGTAGCTGTTTCAGAAGAGCTTTTTCTTTCAGTTTGTGTCTGAAAGCTATTCCTTTGCATGATCTATACATCTATGTATATAGTTTCTTCTTCAGAAATTGTTGCTTTCTTTCTCTCTCTGGAAGATTCCCACATTTTTTCGTATCAAGATGAAGGAGTAGGAAGCCAAAAATTCCCTTTTCCAAAAATCAGTTACTCCTGAAAATATAATCCTTTTCAATTAAAAAAAAAACATCATAGAATTCAAGGAACTATTTTTTCCACTTTCATTATTTGTTTCAGGCTCCGAAGCTATTCGCAAAGGCGAGTACCAAAAAGCTCTCGATATACTGGATGAAGACTTTAACAGCAACAACTCCATATTTTCCGTGGCAACGGGTTATGAAAATGTTTATAATCATTTGAATCCTTTCGATACTGTCGACGAGAATTCAATGGGTATATTTTTCCAACGAGCTGATGTTCGATCTGCAATTCATGTTGGAAACACATCATTTGGTGATGATAAAGTATACGAAAATCTGGAATTGGACATAGTGAAATCAATAGTTCCTTGGGTTTCCGAACTACTGAGTCACTATCGGATGCTATTCTATAATGGTCAACTCGATATTATAGTTGCTTATCCAATGATGGTCACTTATTTGGAGAAGATGAAGTTCAGCGCTCATGAGGAGTACAAAAAAGCACCACGACATGTGTGGAAAGTAGACCAAGATCTGGCTGGCTATGTGAAAAGTGCTGGTAATCTTACCGAAGTTTTGGTCAGAAATGCTGGTCACTTGGTGCCAGCGGATCAACCAAAGTGGTCCTTAGATATGATTAGTAAGTTCGTAAGAAATGAATATATTGCAGGACCAATTTAGTCCGATATTGTGGCTTCATTAATGTAGACCAGCTGATAATGATTATACTGATCACTTATTTCTTTCGTCTATAACTTGAGTCACAAATGATGCAGTTCTATTATATTGTGTTTGAATATATTTTACATATAGATGAAGGGTAACGTTTATTTCTACCTGTGAATAACAATTCTGTACACATATTTGAGTACGTCATATCCATTTCCTCAGATACAACAAAATATTCAACGTCATATTTCCATCCGGCATTTTTATTTGTCATGTTTCATTCATATTGTAAATGCCATTTCATTTTTCATCAGATCCTTCAAAGTTTTCATGATTTTTCTGATTGACTCGACCATTACTTAACGAAGGATAAATTATGGGAAATCCATTGAGCGTAAATTTTCATAGACAACCCAAAGAAATCGATTTTCAAGCAAGTAATTTGGTTATTGACATAGATTTGTGGATGACATTTTGGTTTGTTACACCGGTACTACCACAAAATTAGATATTTTTCACAGGCATCTCAATAAAATTCATGAAAACATCAAATTCACTACTGAAGTGGAAGCAGAATGCAAACAAATATGTCTTTCCAATTTATCACAAACCTTTCCATACAGATATCACTATTCATTGCGATTCTACCCTTCCGTATCAACACAAAATAGCATGTTTCATAGATTTGTCAATGTTTCTCTTTCTATAGATAATTTCAATAAAGAACTCAATATTATTAAGCAAATTGTAGTAAATAACCGATTTGAAGCTGAATTAGTTGCCAAAATACTTTCCTAAACAGTCTACGCAAACTCAGTAGTATAGTAACAGGAATTCCAGCTCAAAATCCCATGTATTTCCTTATAGCACTTCATTCTGGACCTTTTTGGACCTCAGGCCCATTTCACACGGAAGGGACAAAGGTCAGTGCATCATCTCTGCCAGACATCCTCTCTGTGTGAATTGGGCTTTAGACTTCCAGAGCTCACTTCTCCACTGTTCGTCATTACCTAATCGACGAATCAAAAGCTACCGCGCGTGCAGCGGGAAATGTAAACCACCAATAGACACAATTCACACAGGATGAATGTCTGAGGCCTGAGGTTTGGAAAGGTCCAGAATGGACCGCCATAAGAAAATACATGGGATTTTGAGCTTGAATTCCTGTATCTATATTACTCAAAGCGATTAGTGACGTTTTTCCTGTTGATACGTTGGATAATCAAAATCAGAATTATAGAGCTTCAACATACTTGGGACAAACAACAGAAAAAAATGGCTTCATTTTTGAATGACTGAAATATTAAAATTACATATAGAAAAAGTTATACTTTGGAAAAGTTAGTCAAAAATAGTAAATACAAAACATCCAAATTGTAGAAATCAGGAGTATATGAATCAAATTGTGTAACTTGGTGCTAAGGTATATATCGGTCAAACCGGAAGCACATCAAGCAATCGCACCAGGAACATCATATGAACTTATGTAAACAAAAAACAAGTTCAACTTATTCAAATCATCATTTCCTAGACATATTATTGTTGATGTAGAATTGATATAATATGCTCTAGGTAATCATAATTGAGGATGCATCTGAGGTATATGAGGGTTAACTAGATGCTTCAGATAATTATGAGCGAGTATACACCTGTGTAAGTAGTTTTGACTGGTGATTACGTAGGGTATATGAAAGTAGGAGTAAAGAATTAGTTTAGTATATTTATTCAACGAAAGTCATTTTTGTGGAGGAAAAAAATCAGTTTTTCTTCGACTTTTTTTGGGTATTTGTTACCTTCCACAATCTGAAAAAATATAAAAATCAGAATGGACAACTTTATACAAGTGTAGAAGGGCAAACTTTTAAGTTTACCCCGATGAGTTACTGCGTAAAATTCCAAGTATTTTTCACAAAGAAAAATCTTCTATTTATCAGTAACTTGTCGAATTTAACAATTTTGCCTATCAAAAAAAATATTAAGAAATAATACCTAAGATAAATAGAAGATTTTTCTTTGTGAAAAATACTTTGATTTTAACGCAGTAACTTATCGGGGTAAACTTTTGCCCTTCTACACTTGTATAAAGTTCTCCATTCTAATTTTTATATTTTTTCAGATTTTAGTATATTATTCATAACGAAACATTTCGTGATATTTTTGAAAATGAAGTTTATGAAGATTAAATCAATTCTGGTGTAGTTTGTGGAATTTCATCATTGTGTTTGTTTTTCATTCATCATTTTGTGGGTAGAGATAAATCAATACCGGAAGCTCCACCTCTAATCAAGTAGACTCGGAATATAATATACAGTTTAGTAATGCATGAATTGATACCGCAGTAAATTTTTTCCATCCTCCTCTAACAAAAAAAGAGTCGACTCAAACTATTGTATAAATACCATTTCTTTATTAAAACAAAAACCATTTTCACGGTGACTTCTTCTTTGAATGACGTTCCTGAGCCGAGAAATAGACAAAGCAGAGAGTGCAAAAAGTCACCCTGAAATGAGAAATAATCCACACCGAAGGTCCTCAGCATGGGGATACTGCAGGAGCTGTCACAGTATATTCTTGCAGTTGATTGGTCAAATCTGTCAAAGGAACTAAGCGAAAGAACTTCCGGGAGGCCACTGTGGCGTGCCAACGGACTGTTTCCGCACATTGGGGTGTAATTCGTCCAGAGAGTATCAGTCCGCGATTGTTGTTTTCTTTTTGTCTCAGGATATTTATTACGGATATTAATTTTCGGTAACACTTTATCGGTTGACAAATTCCGCTAAAGTCGTGCTATATCAGAGTGCAATAACGATATTATTTTACTGTCTACCAGTGGGTAGAATTTCAATGGTGAAACATTTTTTTTAGCATATTGAATAAAATCTTCATAACCAGAATTGAACAATATGTCTGGCAAGAAGTCTTCGAAGTGAACGATGTACTTTTGAAATAGAATGTATTCTTGATCAACTCTTTTTCCAATGAAAAGAGGTCAAAACAAAGAAAGCTGAATAAACGTAGAGGTGGAGTGTTAAGGAGTATATTCTTTGTTCGTTTGTTAATTTTTCATCTATGTTCATCATATATTCTTCAGTATATTTTTTGATCCTATCAGTTAGCTGTGACTGAGATATGTTTCAAGAAAGTTTTTGTTTTTGATGATTTTCTGTAAAAAGACATCAAAAAAAGTGAAATTTAATATCTTCTTGAAGAATAAATTATTGGAGAACAGTACAGGGGTCGAAAAGAATAAGTATTTCTGCTGTACGTTAATATAAGAGCGTCAGTCAATCAATAGGTACAATGGGTTGATAAAAAAATACTTGTTTGAAATGGTCTGTTACGGCACTTAATGTGATGAATAAAATTCTACGCGGATGAAGCCGCGGGCAACTAGTCATTGACATAGATTCGTAATCTATACGTAGCCTCCATTTGCTGCATTTCCCGAACAAAATAGACCAAGACTTCAAAGAATGCTTTGGATGATGTTACGAGTTGCGATAAGTCTACAATAATGGGCTTGTTTCACGCTATGGAAAATGATACTGGTTTGCTTATGGACTGATCGAGTTCGAGGTATTTTATACTTATCAAGCCTAATCGGTTCCATGATCTCTCAATATTTGCAGAAAAAAGAACAATTCGAAAAGCAAGAATTTAAATTGGCCGCGTGTCTGTTGACCAATAAAATTGATCGTGTCTAGAGCGGAGTTGCCAAGTGTATTGGTTTTAATATCCAATCACAGATCTGATGATCCAATTTGACAGACGTCGTTTTTGTTGTTATTGTTGTCAACCCGGTAAGAAAACAACTGTAACAATTATTTAATTTAAGAATTTCTTTTTGTGAAAGGTAGGTCTCGGCGTGTGCCACATATCAGAAATACGCGACGGACTGTGGCTACTCTTCGTTTTGATGTTCAACTCAGTATACCTCGAACTTCACTGTTTGAGAACTCTTTCATCTGGAGAACTGCGTTTTTCCACAGGCACCGCTCTGAGAGTACCTTGAGGATTTTCCTGTAGTGCTTGAGAACGAAAGGCGGAATGGAGTTGCTATTGCTTCATTGGTGTGGAACACAAGAAGTAGGTATTTATCTGACTATTTTAGAAAATGAATCTCCATTCAGAAGTAATCTCTATATTATATGTATAGAGTTATAACTCGATGATTTCTCTGTCAGTTTTGAAAGATCGGAAACAAGGCACTCAGTCTGTGACTTGATTTCGTACTTGATTCGATATTCATGTTGAATCAAGTATGAGTTCGAACCGAATGTGCTGAAATTTTATAGGTTAATACATAATCGAGTCAAATATATATTCTCGTATATTGATGGAAATGCAGCGCGAGTTTATCCGACAGAATCGGAAATGCATTTCAGATCGTTTTCCATTTCCTCAGCATGGAACATGACATTTTTTCGTTGGTCGAATATACGAGGATGCTAGATGCATTACAATGCAATGCATAATGCATCAGAAACCTCTCGTAGTTACTTCAACGCTTTGGAATATAACGAGGATGCGACGAACACGAATCTGCATTCTCTTGATTAAATGTTTCTCAACCAGGTGACGTCAGACACGTTATCAAAAGTTATGACTAACGAGACGGTTTGTGTTTGGAAGGGATATCCTGTTTTTTTTAAATTTATTTGAAGTCGCGTCAACCTCCAGGGTTATCAGCCACTGAACAGTGAATCAGTTGCAGGGGTATTATACAGGCTGATTCACGGTGGATGGCACATTAGACGTTTCTGGTGAACCAGACAACGGATCACTTTGAAAATTTAATGGAGGGCATATTCGGACATTCTCTAGCCAACTAAAATATTTTCGACAATGCGGTGTTGCCGCTTCTATTAGAAAGCAGTAGCAACTTTGATTTTTCAAATGGA